GGAGGGCTCACGGTGAGGAGGAGGAGGAGGAGGAAGCTGCGTGGTATTTGACGAAGGCAATGGCCGCCAGCTCCTTGCAGAACTCCTCCAGCACGATCACGCCCTCCAGCAGAGTCATGTGGTCCACACTGCGGGGAGAACACACAGAAAGGGGAGGAGTCAGGAACAGAGGTCATCTCAGAAGTGTGCTTATAAACACTTTGAATTAGATTTGACTTATAATGTATTAATTCTCTATTTCATTTAAGGCTTGCTAGCTTTTTAGTTTGAGGTTTTAAAAAGACATTTCTCTTCAGTATCTTTTCACAAACCCATATACAGAATTACCTCAGCTTTTCTCCTAATTCCAGTGGGTTTACATTCGTTCAGATCAGAAGCTTGATGAATGTCATTAATCAGCTACAATGTTTTGATCAGGTATTTGTTATTTAATAGTATAAGACCAGACTGAAATCAATTGTTCCACAGTCTCATCTCCTGGTGCTCACATACACTAAATGCAGTCTTCTTTTTTCAGCAGGGATATACTAGAGCTAAAATGTCAACTGAAATGAATCAGATGAAACAATATTGTTACCAAGATACCGTTTTGAATTCGTTTGTTTTAATAAAAACAAAACTTGGCTGCTCATTTAGAGTTTATGATTATTACTCAGAGAATGCTCAGTGGTGTGTGAGAGGTACGTACTTGATGCCCTCCGGCTCCAGACCTAATAATCTCTTCCTGACGAGAAGCAGTTTGGGGGTGAAGTCTGGGATTCGCTGGATCCTCAACATGAGATCTCCCACCACCTAACACACACACACACACACACACACACATTAGGAATTACATAAAAACTATATACCTGCTTTCTTACATCTCTGGGCAACGGTGCATCACTCATAAATGTATACTACACCCTTTGGGGACATTAGGGTAATAATTAGCATCAACAAGCGGCTTCCAGCTGCCTCTACTGACTTTAACACAGTGTGCTACTAGGACAGATTTAAATAAAGCTGGGCTGAATGACAGAATAAGTGGGACAGAGGTGCAGTTCTTCAAGTGATTGCAGGTAAAGTAGCAGCATGCTCAGAAGGATAAAACAGGAAGTGGGATTCACTGAAACTCTTGCACCAATAATAGTGGCATGAGATAAAGGCCAAACATGTTGAAATACAGTATCAAACATTGCAAGAAAGTACTCAGCAGAGGTGGGACCAAGTCATTGTTTTGCAAGTCACAAGTACGTCTCAAGTCTTTGCACTCAAGTCCAGAGTCAAGTCTCAAGTCAGGATGGGCAATTTCAAGTCAAATCCATGTCCTAAACTTTGAAAAAACGATTCTTAAAAAGGTCCCATGTCATGCTTTATACACACACACACACACACACACACACACACACACACACACACACACACACACACACACACACACACACATCACAGAACGGCCGCTCGTCAAGGGCCGGCTCGATTCGCTGACGGCCGTCACCGCCCTTCATCTTTTAAGTTTTCATCATTGAAGTTGCACCGACAGAGCTCCGGTGTTTCCCCGCAGCGAGGCCCCCC